GCACCGAGCGGCCCCGATGGCGGGGTCTCCACCTGGGGAGCCGTCACCTGTCTCCCAGGTCCCCCACCCCACCCCACCCCTGCACACCGCCTCCCCCGGGGGGACCGGGGCGCGCACAGGGTTGCAGGGCAGCAGCCCCGCAGGCCTCCCCTCCCCGGCCTCACAGTCGCCCCGACACCCCGACACCCCGCCGGCCGGCCGGCCTAGCGTCGCCTTGGGCTCGCGCCGGTCCCGAGGCCCGGGCAGGCTTCCGATCGCCGGTCCCCACCCCCACCCCGCCGCTGGAAATGGTAGGGCGGCGAACAAAAGGGTTCCAGAAGCCCTACCTGCCCTTTATTATTATTATTATTATTATTATTATTATTATTATTATTTTATTTTTTTTTTTTTAAAGCAAATCTCGTTCTTGTGCTTTCCGTGGCGCTCGGCCTTTTCCCCCTTTTCCGGGGCACGGCCTGCTTCCTCGCTGCCCCGGCTAAGGGTTCCTCCTCCCCGCGTCCCCCCCAGCTCTCCGCACCCCGGCCTTGCAGGCTGTCAGTGGCAGCCCCAGGACCCCCCGCCGCCGGTCCGCACGGCTCTGAAACCACCTGGGCGCTCCGTGCATGTCAGCTCCTGACAGCTGCTGCTGGGCCCGTGGCTGGGCCCTGTGCACGGCTGGTGTGCACCCCCGCGTGGGGCTCGGGGTCCCGGTCCTCTGCTCTTGACCTCTCGAAGGGAGCCCAGACCCCCCGAGGGGGTCGACGGCTGTGACCTGAGTCGGCTCTCAAGTTCTTTGTCACGGACTTCTCCCTTGGCGGATCTTTTTACACCTCCCGCCGAGAGGTGCCGGCGCTCTTTAGGGGAGAGGGACTAAGGGTCAAAAGGTAAAAGAGAAAATTAGCTCCCCGGCTCAGTGTGAGCAGAACAGAAAGGTAGCATTCCAGGTAGCGTGGGGCGGCAAGGTTTGAGGGCATTGTCTCCTCGGAAGGCATAGGTAGATGTTGTCTTCCTGCTTGTTAGCAGGACAGGTACGCGGGCTGCGCTCCTTGCTTGGAGAGGAGACCCCACAATGACAACCACGTCTGGTTTCGGGGGAAGCAAAACGTGCAGGCTGAGTTTTGAAGCCAGCTTGCCCTGCCTCGCCGCTTGGCTCTCTTAAGGCACCGAGATGGGTGGAAGCCTGGTGTTTTTTTTTGTTTTTGTTTGTTTGTTTTTTTATCGTGTTCCCCCAAGAAATAACATTGTTGTGTCACAAAGAGCCTCAAAGGGGCACTTGTTGTCTTGCCTTGAACTCCCTAAATGTACAGCATTTTACTGTTGGTTGGGACAATTCAGGAGCGGCCAGAGCCCTCCCTGTACAGACAGACGCGTGGGGGAGGCAGGCGCACTTTTGTCTGTCCCAGGGGCTTCCAAGAGCTCACGGGACGCAATGGGAGGTGGCAGAGAACCTGTCTGGAGCCTGTTCCTCTCCCTCTCCCTCCCCCCCCAGTACATACAAGCAGAGCCACCGACCAACAAGTCCCTGTCTAGCCTGGTTGTACAGCTGCTCCAGTTCCAAGAAGAGGTTTTTGGAAAACATGTCAGCAACGCACCCCTCACTAAACTGCCGGTGAGTGCCGGGGAAGGGGGGACGCGTCCTCCAAACTGGAAAGGGAGTGTTTTGCTGTTTCCGCTCTAAATTTTTACCCCCTACGTGCGCGTGCGCGTAATCTCGGAATTGGGGAGGTTGAGGTAGGAGAATCAAAAGTTGGGGGCTAGCCTGATCTACATAGAGCAGTTCAGATAGTGTGTGCTGTATTATGAGTCCCTGTCTCGAAAGAACAACAGGAATAAAACCCACCTTTTTTTCCTTCAAATTCCGTATCTGTAGATTTATTTCCTACAGGAATAGTCTCCGTCAGTAGTCAGGGGAGTACGGCTTGAGTTAGTTCCCAGTCGACTCTCCTGTCACTGTGGAAGAATCTGTGCAACAGGTCATCTGAGAATGGGGGGTTCAGTCCTCCAGTGTCTCTCTCATGGTTTGATCTAAAAGGGTCTGCAGTTTGGGAGCAGGAGGGATGGCTCAGTGGTTAGGAGCCCTGGGTTTGATTCCCAGCACCGACACGGAGCTTTACAGCCATCCGTAACTCCAACTCCAGGGATGCTTCTGACCGTCACGGACACTGGTATGATGTACAGCAACGCAAAACACTCACGCACAAAATAAATAAACCTAGAAAGGTGAAATTCAAGAGTGTGGTTTGATCCGATATGCCCTCACTTAGAAGCCTGAGCCACAGCCAGGCATGGCGGTGCACGTCTTCAATCCCAGCGCTCGGGAGGCAGAGGCGGGCGGATCTCTGTGAGTTCGAGGCCAGCCAGGTCTACAAAGAGAAACCCTGTCTCGAAAAACAAAACGAAGAAGAAGCCGGAGTCAGGAAGATTACAGATTGAACCCAGCCACCCTGTCTTAAAATTTTAGAAAAGGGTTTCTGGAGATGTAGCTCTGGTAGAGAGAGTACTTGCCTAGCCTGTGAGAGGCCCTGGATTGTATCTTCGGTGCCACAAAGGAGGGGTGGCGTAGTAGATAAAGTGCTCGTTCTGAGGCTCATGAACGACCTACACACTAGAAGGAGAGAACACACCCTGTGACCTACACACACACACACACACACACACACACACACACACACCACAATTAATACATGAAATTCCTTAAAAGGGGCCATGAGATTTGGATTTGCATCAAGTTGTAGTTAGTCCTGGTTCTGCGACCTGATGACTGTGGGGAAGCCTTTATGAGTCTTAATAATTTCATCTCCACGTGAACTAAATAGACCTACCTTGTAGTGTTTCGTCAGTAGTACACGAGGTCATCCAGTGGAGTGCTTGGTCCAAATTATGAATATCGGTTTCTTTTCTAACTGTCCAGGTCAAATGGTGCAGTGACACGTGGGGCCCAACTCTGAGGGACGAGCGTAGTGGTGACGCCTTTACTCCCAGTACCCAGGAGACAGAGGCAGGGGGATTGCTACAAGTTCCAGCCCAGCTTGGTCTGCATGTGGGTTCTAGGCCAGCCAGGGCTGCATAGTGAGACATTGTCTTAAAAACAGACAAACAAAGCATTGGAGAGGGAGGTCATTTCAGAGTGGGATTTCCGTGCCAGGATTTTTATGTGACAAAGAAAATTTTTACAATGTAACTTTCACACACTTTTTCCCCTGTCTCAATTTTGTAGATCAAATGTTTCCTAGATTTCAAAGCAGGAGGATCCCTGTGCCACATTCTTGCAGCTGCCTACAAATTCAAGAGTGACCAGGGATGGTGAGATGCCTTCTCTCTGCTTTTCATGTTTAGTTTAGAGAAAATTCCCATTTCTTCGTGGGGTCCTTCTGAAGTGAAAGAACACATTAGAAATCCTGTGCCTTTTTATTTTGATAGATCGGGGAAATAGATGTGATAGCCAGAGGAGTCTCTACAACGAATGTGGAGTCTGTGGGGAGGGGGCTCTGGGCTGGCGTCGCAGACTCGGTCCTTTTGGATTAAACACAGAGTGACATGCAGGAGACCAGGAACCCTTCGTCCCTGTGATTGGGACAAAATGGGTGACAAGATTATCTCCTAACTTCCCCTGCTAAGAAGTTACGTACCAAGCTGGGAGTTGGTGGCGCACACCTTCAATCCCAGCACTCGGGAGGCAGAGGCAGGTGGATCTCTGCATTCGAGGCCAGCCTGGGCTACAGCCAGTTCTAGGATAGCTGAGGCTGTTAAACAGAGAAACTCTATCTTGAAAAACCAAAAAGAAAAAAAAAGAAGAAGTTATGTACCCTAGGGGTTAAAGACACGGCTCAGTGGTTAAGAACACTGGCTGCTCTTCCAGAGGACATGGTCCCATTCCCACAGGGCTGATCACAACCTTCTGTAACCCCAGTTCCAGGGGATCCCATGACCTCTTGTGACCTCTTCAGGCACATGGTGCACACAAGCAGGCAAAACACCCATACACATAAAATAAAAATATAAATTAAAAAATAAAAAGAGAAAAGTCCTGTACCCCCGCCCCTTCCCCCAGACATAAACTATAATTTACTCGATTATTGTCCCTTTACAAGGCGGCGTTACGATTTCCAGAATCCGTCACGCATGGACCGCAATGTGGAAATGTTCATGACCATTGAGAAGTCCTTGGTGCAGGTAATATTCAAGCACACCTCCCGCCCACTTCCCCTTCCGAAGTAAGAACACAGAATGGCATCCCTCATCTCATCTACTTCTTCTCACAGAATAATTGCCTGTCCCGACCCAACATTTTCCTGTGCCCAGAGATTGAGCCCAAACTGCTAGGGAAGTTAAAGGACATTGTTAAGAGACATCAGGTGAGTGTGAGGGAAGGCAGGTAAGTCAGGGGCTTCTGTCCTCCTGACTGGTTCTCGCATTGTTACCATTGCTATGCTGTTCCGCCATGATCAAGGGTGTCTTCACCAGGCAGCGGATTGCCGCATTTTCTTCTGTCCTGTCCCCGCCCCCACACCTCACACCCCCCCCCCCACCCCCCCCCCCCCCCCACCCCCCCCCCGGTGAAAACTACAGTCAAGCGTTTGAGCAGCACCGGCCCTGTCTGCCTCCTCCACTTCCCAGGCCTGATTGGGTGATCACTGCTCCCTGGCATTGCATTGGCCTGGATGAAGGAGAGCATCTTCCACTGAACTAGACATACCTGATTTCAGATAAATGCAACCTTGGAATCAGGTGCAGTGATATGCCCAGGCAATTGAGAAGTAGAAGCAGAAAGAGCAAACGTTCAAAGTCATGCTTGGCTGCATAGTGTGTTCAGACCTGCCTGGACTGTAGAGTGAATCTGTTAAAACAACCACAACAAAATCTCCGCTCTTGGGAACTATTTAATAAGAAGCAGATATTATGGGTAGGCACATACAGTCCATTTAAATTCCCTATGGGTAGGTCTCTATGCATGAAGACCTGGGTCTGGATCCTCAGAACACGTGAAGCCTAGATGTTGGGGTTCGTACCTATAACTCCAGTGCTGGGTGTAGAAACAAGTAGATCCTGGGGCCCGTTAAGCAGCTAGTCTAGCTAGAATGTCAAGCTCCAGGTTAACTGTCTCAAAAATATAAAGGACACTTGTGGTTGACCTCTAGCTTCTGCACACACAAACACCTCCAATAGGTAGGGAATCTATGCGGAGGGCTGTCTGTGGGGACATTTAAGTCTGGCTTTTCTCCAGTGCTAACACATCATGGCCACAGAGTTTCCTTGCCGCTTAGGTGGTGTTGCTAGAAAATACAAACTTAATTTTAATGCCGCCACCAGAAAGATGTCATTAGAAAGGGAGATCTGTGGTTGTATTTTAATTCTTTTATTTGTCCCCGAGAGTAATTCAGGAGGAAGTAGACTTACCTGCTTTTCCTTGTGCTGCCCAGGGAACCGTCACCGAGGATAAGAGCAACGCCTCCCATGTTGTGTACCCTGTCCCAGGGAACCTGGAAGAAGGTGAGACCAGGCTTTCTTGTCCTCGGCCGTGATGGAGGGTGACTTAGATCACCGTACGCCACCTGAGGTTCCGAGCACTGCAGTCCTGAGTCTCCATCCCCTGAGTTCCTGCCACTTAAGTGAAGCCTCAGTCTAGTCGCTCCTTGTGCCCCAGCTCATCTCTCTCTTCTCTGTCTCTGTCCTCAGAGGAATGGGTGCGGCCAGTCATGAAGAGGGACAAACAAGTTCTTCTGCACTGGGGCTACTACCCTGACAGGTGAGGATGGGGTCTCAGGTGATCAGGAGAAGCAGCCGCTGCCAGACACAGAAGCCGTCTGGCCGAGCAGGAGGCTTCTGGACTGTTTATTTCCTTGTCTGGTTCCTTGGGATACAGGAGTTTGCTGTGTAATCCGGGCTGGCACAGAACTTGTTGTGTAGACCAGGCTGGCCTCAAACGTGTAGCAATTCTCCTGCCTCAGCCTCCTCACTGCTGGTATTAAAGGCGTGCGCCACCACACTGGCTCTGTGTGTGTATGTGTGTGTGTGTGTGTGTGTGACCTCAGTTCATCCTCAGGAATGCAGGGTTTCTCACTGGCCTGGAACAACTGGTCTAGACTGGATGGCCGGAGGGCCTTGGGATCCCCCTTTGTGTACCTTTGATGCTCTGGGGTTGCAAGCATAAGCCACCGTGCCTAGGATTGTTTGTTTAATGTTATGTGATCCGAGTTTTGCATGCATTAATGTGTGTGCACTACATGCATGCCTGGTGCCTACAGATTCTCTTCAACTGGAATTACAGACAGTCGTGAGCCATAATCTGGGTGCTAGGAACTGATCCTGGGTCCTGTGCCAGAGCAACAGTTGTTCTTAACTGCTGAGCCATCTCCTCAGCCCCATGCCCAGGTTCTGGGGATAGAATTCAGGTCTTTATGCTTGCTGACTGTATCATCCCTCAGGTCAACTTGTTTTCTTTTTTATCACACATATGTATGTACATACATACATACATACATACATACATACATACATATGTACGTATTTGTTTAAGACAAGGTCTCACTTGTAGCCATGTTTAGCCTGACTTTGCTCTGTAGACCAAACTGGCTTTGAACTCACAAAGATCCACTAGCCTCTCCCTCCTGAGTGCTGGGATTAAAGGATTGTTCTACCACACCTGGCCTTCTCTTTGTTATTTGTGTGTGTGTGTGTATGCGTGCATGTTTGCATGTGTACAGGTACATATCTGGAAGTCAGGATTGGGGGCCAATGCTTTCATTCCACTTGGGTTCCAGGGGTCCAGCTCCAGTCCTCAGGCTGTGTGGCATGCAGCTGTTCACCCGCCTTTCTGCTGGTTGATGTCATAGGTTTTGATGTAAAGCAAAAGCAAGCTGTAATCTCAGCCCTTGAGACACCAAAGAAAGAGGATCAAGAATTCAGAGTCGGCCAGGCAGTAGTGGCGCACGCCTTTAATCCCAGCACTCGGGAGGCAGAGCCAGGCGGATCTCTGTGAGTTC